CCGTAATTGCTGAAGTGGTGGCAACAGACAATAGATTTGAAACTAATAAATGGCTTCACTTCTGGCCAGTACACATTTCAAGAAAATCTTTATCTTCTGATATTTTTCTAAATATTTATATCATGGACATTATTGACACATTGCCTCATATTGGATGTGCTTGATATTTGGAGAATGGCAGGTTTGTATGGAAGTTTTGTACCGCTATAAAATTTTGTATTAGTCATTGTTTTAACCAAGTGAATAGTCTGAACGATAGATATTTTTATTATGAAGTTTAGAAAAAAATTACATATTTTTAGAACTTGGGGTTCAAAAGTTATTTTACTTTGAAAATGTGCAAAAGGTACGTTAAGGTGGTACCACACTTGACATTGCGTAGTCGCTTCATTTGTCCAAATATTTGTAGACTACGTACAAATGACGTTCAAATAGTATCTCTATATGTAATGGCGTGCAAATATATAGCAAACAAAGAAGAATAAATTCTCCAAACATGTTCTTTTTTGGTCGAACACAACAAATACGCAACGTCAAGTGTAGAGCCACCGTAAGCAAAATATCTACCTATTACAAATGACAGATGACAGTTAACTGAAAAATGTCAATGTGCTCTCATGTGGTTGTTTTTTATTTACAAAAAACTAAAATCTAAAAATACTGCTCGCTACTCAAGTGACTTTACACTTTGTATTATTAGGAATGATCCTGTTAATTCAGCAAGCATGATGTACCTATAGAGTTTTAAAGAGTATGCCTCACAATCTTTTTAATTTCTTAGGTGCCTACGAAAATGCAAATTCATAATGTAAGCGACTGTCATTGGGTAGAAGGCCTACATTTAGCAGTGGAAGTCTTGTGGCGGATATGATAAAACTAATAGTGTCTCACTTCACCTTGAATCTTGCAGGTAGATAGTCTCAAAGGTCTCAAGTTAATACGATTTAAACTTAGCTTAGCTTTTGAGAAAGTATTTCTTCTGAAAGCTGGTTGCTTAGCACGCGTGTAAGGATTAATTTCTAATAAGTAAGTCAAATTAGTAGAATCATCAACATTTTCATCATTAAGTCTATTAGTGGCCACTGCTGAACGAAGCCTCTTCTCGCATGGAGGTTTGAGCATTAATCACCATACTAGCTCAATGTGGGTTGGTAATTCAAACTTATAATAAGAAATTATAAGCCCATGTTTCCTCACAATGTTTTCCTTAACCATTCGTCAGCGGTGTCTTTGTACTTTCTTAGATTATTGAATATACGAATAACTCGGAAAAAAGACACATTGGTACTTTGCCATTGGTAGGTTTCGAACCCGCACTCTCATGCATGAGAAGCAGGCTTCTTAAACCTCTGGGCCACCACATTACAACTAAAGAAAATGTAAAATGAAAATGAACATTTTTGGTATAAAACTAAAGCTATCTAAATTAAATATGGCATTTATTTTATAGATTGATTCTTAAAATCACTTTTATCAAGATGGAATATATAGTTACTTACTAGGTTAAAATAAAAAAACATGTATTATTTTGAAATACTTTTATTTCATTGTATTCAGGTTGTTTCTAGGACTACTTCATCTGAAAAGAGAACAGGCAGTGTCATAGGTACAGCAGACATCAATTGCTGATATCTGTAAACAAGTAAGATAACTGTAAATAAAGTAAACAAAAGTACATTTTTTTTCCTTTAGTTTTATATGTTATAATAATATGTCTGATTCCCTATCTTAAAAGGAAAAGATAAAAATATTTGATTACATTACTTGATTTTATAACATTTATTATAGTTATTCGTATAACACAGATCTTAGGAGCTCGAACAGCATGCTAATTAATAAATTATAATTATAACATGAGTATAAACCTATTAGAACCGCTTATATACTCCACATAGATACATAATTATGTAGGTACATTATAATGAGAATGCATACCTGTTGAAGCTTTGAGAGCCAAACAACATCTTCCGGCCTCATCTGTTCTACAAATGGCAATGTTAAAGTGAGGCTTAGTCCATGTTTACATAACACATTAATTCCTGATAGTGAACACTGTGAGGTGGTATGTCAGGTTGTGGTTTTAGAGTTTCGGCTCTTGTACGGTCTCTCAGTCAGTATGGAACATGATCTTCATCATGCTAAGCTAAGCTAAAATAAGTAATATTATTAGAATATGATATTGACTTTAGATTACACTGTATATAGATAATAGTATGGTTAAATTGTGCTTTATAACCTCTTGTGGCTGAATCCAATCAAATACTATATGAGCCAGTGTTTACTCCTGTTTGTTGGCGCCTTCAAATAAAACCCTGCGTCACCTTATCATTGCAATGAATCACCCATATACGACACAAACATGCCGGTGACCAATTTGTTTGCTGGACATATGTACTTCAGCAACATCCCGATACATTGGTAATTGCCAGCAAGCATTGCAAATATGGTCGGTAGGAGAGATCTAGAATAAAAAGAATAAAATGATATATTATGGGTAGATAACACTATGCGCCTTCTTTTATTCAGGCAACATGGTGACTTTCGATATGTTATGGGTAAACTAGGTACTTACATCTCTAGGATAAGTCCACAATGGGATATTGTTGACCACGTCTAATCTTTACTCTCATTTCCTAGAGCATGCCGTCTCATGTGCGACAAACTCTGAATGCAATTAATGCACTGTAAATTCATCATCGCGACAAATTACAACACACTATGCACAAAATAATGTAAATAAGTGTCTTTTCGCAATTGTCACAAAATGATGCCAATAACACCAATTTGGGCTACGGAGGAACGGTTGCCAAACTCAACGTATCACCAGATGAATAAAATAACTTCAAATTCAACAAACACATCATAACATCGCATTTGAAACAAACAGCAATGCGCCAGTATTGACATTTGACAAATTAATTGTCAATGTCATCAAGACAAATGCCAGTTCAACATTGCCATATTCAAGTTTGTTAAAATGTTAATATTATCATTAATAATCCATGTAGACGTAGATTTAGATTGGATGTAGATTTTTATATTTACTTATAAAAATGTTTGAAATGGAAAGGAAAATATTTCATTGATAGATATTAAAATAAATGAGTTTATGAAATAGCGAAATTCAATATGCTCTGATTTCATTTTTACGCATGGCAACTTTGTAAACGTCAATCGCGGTTCGTTTTACGTTTAGTGGATTGATTTTTATCATTATTGAATATCAGTTTTTCTAGGGTTTCCCAAGTTCTAAAAATCTATTAAATATGCTAACATAACGTACTTAGAAGGTTCTATAATGATCCAATTTTTTAATGACAAATCTTTTTTTAGCGAAGCGGTACAAAATCTGCCGTTCTCCTTCTTTTTCATCTGTCCATGCCGGTGACGATTCTACGAGCCATTCTCACTCAACGTACGCATTCGATACGTGTCGTATTATAAGAGAACTGAGCAAAGCGCCAACGCGTTGACAGATCGCGAACATTGGCGCAGATTCTTTTGATGAAACCGACACGAGCTGGCCAACAACCAATGCTAGCCCCAACGTTGAGAGCAATGCCATTTTCTAGATCCACGCGTTGGGCGAGTAGCGCTGTGACTAATATTGGGGCCAATGTGTAGAGCCGGCGGGACATATATCCTTTGGGCCAATATTGGGGAACGTGTGAAGACAACGTAACATTAATCAACCAATAAAGAGTTGCCCTAATGTTCTATATCGCTCTAACAAATGTATCTAAATTCGATGCGGAAATATGAAAATACATTTTATCTTTTTTAACCAATCCGTAATCTGATATGGATAAAGAGACACCATGCTGTTGGGTAGTTTATTCTCCGATTGGCAACATTTTTACAGTGCTGTCAAAGAGCCTGGCAGAGATATTTTATTGGCGATGCAAAGATTAACTAGCGTCGCTAGTGTCAAAATTGTGAAGCTGTCTAAGAACGACACTGACAGTTTTCGTAAATAATTTACGTCACAGAAAAATTTATTTAATAAATCAGATTTATGTGGTTTCTTCTAGATAAATATTTAAGTAAATTGCATAATTAATGAAATGTTATACTAATTATTTAATTATTATCCTTAACTCACTTCATTACACTCGAATTCAATCCTTTATCCACAATCACTTCACCATTAAATACGTATTTATTTAAATTCCTGATTAATTCACATTGTAAATATTTCATAAAAAAAAAAATTGACGCATTTTAATTGATTTCAATTATAGTTTATACATATTAATGTATGAAATAAGAACTGCATTGCTTAAAAATATTGTATTTCGTCTACTTGCATCAAGCATACTTAAACTGTCAAACACCAAGCGGTCACCGGTGACCGCGACCTATTGTTCTTTAATTGTGTCTATAAAACCGGTACTCGACGAGTTAATAATTAAAAAATAGATATTTTATGAAATATATACAGTGGCTACTACAGGTACTGATGTAATGTTACATCTAACTGTTTACTTGTACTTTTGGTATCACGTCAATTACGATGTATTGCGGCTTGCGGCATCTTTCTTTTCACTGATCTTTATGTCTGTCACCACTTTAGCATATAAACACATACACATACATATCCCATTGGATTTTTACAAAACTACCTCGAAATTCAACACTTTGCTGTCCTGCGTAAAGTTGGAAGTAAAAAATTTCTTGTTGGAAGTAAGAATAGGTGTTGAAGTTGAACGTTACAAGTAAGAAATATTGAGAAAATGATTTGAGGAAGAGTATGGGGGGGGGATTGGGCTTGTAACCTCGCTCATACAGCAAAACACATCGCAAGCGTTGGTTCACATTGTTGGAAGCATGGTTTTTAATTCTGTACGAGTTTCCATGTCGTGATACATCACAGTTCTCATAAATTGGCTGTATAAATTTATTGTTGTATATTTTACTTAAACATTACATTCACATTACAAAGATATAACATAATATTTACAAGCACTGTCAGAACAATGACAGTGGTACCGATGCGGTAGCTAGGCGTAGAGCCGCAGAGTGCCGTCGGCGCAGGCGGCGGCCAGCCAGGGCTGCGCGGGGTGCCAGCGCAGCTCCAGCACGTTCAGGTCGGCCGCGCGCGCGCCGCCCGACAGCGACTTCAGCGGCACCAGGAGCGGGTTCTGCAGCAGGTCACTGCAACACCAACAGAGTACTCGCGGGGGCCCGGCCCAGACACCAACCGAGTACTCGCGGGGGCCCGGCCCAGACACACACACCAACCGAGTACTCGCGGGGGCCCGGCCCAGACACCAACCGAGTACTCGCGGGGGCCCGGCCCAGACACACACACCAACCGAGTACTCGCGGGGGCCCGGCCCAGACACACACACCAACCGAGTACTCGCGGGGGCCCGGCCCAGACACCAACACCAACCGAGTACTCGCGGGGGCCCGGCCCAGGCACCAACACCAACCGAGTACTCGCGGGGGCCCGGCCCAGGCACCAACACCAACCGAGTACTCGCGGGGGCCCGGCCCAGGCACCAACACCAACCGAGTACTCGCGGGGGCCCGGCCCAGGCACCAACACCAACCGAGTACTCGCGGGGACCCGGCCCAGACACACACGCTACTTTTTACCCCCGGGAACGCGGGCGAACCCGCTGGCAGAAGCTAGTATGTCGCAGCCAAATTGTATAATCCGCCTTATTACATTACGGCTAGCCATTTAGAAAAGCAGGGTCGTTTTGGGATACGGCGTCTTTACGATTAATCGTATTGTCAATGCAAAACGTACAATATGTCAGCACATGTTGAGCCTCATTGTAATAATTTTACAATGGATGGTCTGGGTGACCATTATATATTTTGTAGTAACAAAATGAAATATTAGGTATACCAAGATGGCGACTATACAAAGTTGAGGGTGCAGCTGAGGGTGGTAAAACCGATGGTACTGTCAAATACAAATCTAAGATGGCGGTTGCACAACATTTTCAACTTTTCGTCATGAGTATCGTTTTTATGATTGTCGAGGGTGGTAGTGGCCCGATGGTAATGGTAAAATGTAAATCCAATTACGTTCGAGTTTAAAATTTCACGTAAACGACACCCATGACGAAAAGCTGAAAACCTTGTGCAGTCGCCATCTTGGATTTACATTTTGACAACACTATCAGTTTCTTTACCCTTAAAAACCACGAGAACAACACCGAATAATAAAACAATATTATTATGTCAAACGGCGTTGCATTTAAATTTTGTAACTATAAATTGGACATAATGATCACTCTGTGATATTACGGCTAGCTATTATTGAAAATAACGCATAGCTCCGAAAACTATCTGGCTGATTTGGCTCAGCCGTATTCAATTCGGCTTATCGTTAAACCGTTGTATTACAAAATGTCCCTGGTTTGCTAAACGACAGGCCGTGATGTAATACGGTGGATTACACAATTCGCCTGCGACAGTCCTTCGAGCCGGATTAAGTCAACAAAGATTTTGAGTATTAATCACAATGCTTGCTCCATGCGGGTTGGCGATTAATAAATAAAATAGATAACTATTAAACGCATTCATAAATTGTGCTAGTAGGGCCATGAACTTATAAGCTAGGGGTGAATAAGGTAGCAGAAAGTAGTTGACTAGTACATGGCGCAACACTCTGCTAAAAGTAAAAAAAGTGATTTTGTTATATTCAATAGTCTTACGCCGGATTACTGAAATGTTACTAAAGTTTAAGTCGCGCTTAAGTATAGTTCTGTTTCTACAAATTCTTTGTGAAATGACAGAGTTACATAAAATTTAGTAACGTTTCAGTATTCCAGTATTAGGCTACGAGTTCCTCTGCATGTTGTTTCTTAGTTGATTCAGTGTAGGTAACAGTGTAGGTAACGGAATGCTCACTTGTAGACCATGCCGTGGCTGACCACGATGTTGTCGTCGTCGCCGCCCGACGCGAACAGAGGGTACCGGCGGTGGAACGACACCGACCGCACCGCGCCCCCGTGCAGGCGGAGCGTCTGGTACGGCTTCGACGACAGCTCCAGGTCGAACCTGCAACCGACTGCATGTAGGCGCGCGCCGGGCCCCGGGCGACCCGCGGCGCGCGACTCACCATATGCACTTCCTGTCGTACGAGCAGACCAGCAGGTTGTCCCCGGCCGGGTGCACGGCCATGTGGCTGATCCACTGCGCGCCCGTCTGCAGCTTGCGCAGCAGCTCCTGCTTCAGCAGGTCGTACACGCGCACCACGCGCTGCGTGGCCACGAACAGCTGCGGCCGCGTCGGGTGGAACACGGCGCACTGCACCAGCCCCTTGCAGCGCGCCAGCGGCAGCTGCGAGCGGCGCCGCGACAGCTGGTGCACCAGCACGGCGCGCGCCCCGCCCGCGCCGCCCGCCGCGCCCGGCCGCAGCGTGGCGCACACGTAGTCGCCGCGCGCGTGCCACGCCACGGTCGACACCTCGCGCGCGTGCTGTACCTCGGCGCGCACGCCGCGCGCCCACTGCGTCGGCGTCACGCGCGCCCACTGCGCCGGGCTCGCGCCCGCTGCACACGCGACCAATCATTTACCTCTCCCTCCACACACCTACAGCGGCAGCTGTCATTTCTTTACAGTAACGACTCCTTACATTTCTGACAGACTACACAAACACCTATCTATTTTAATAAAAAATAAAATAAATCCTTGAAATATATGTTCACGCCTAACTTCAGAACGCCAGTACCAAACTGGATAATTCTTTCTTTTATTATCCATTAAAACATTAACAATAGTGATGATTCGTTATGGTCAGCAGGTTTGTACAAAAAATAAATGAATCGGGATGCGCGTACGAAATAGCGGGCAACATTCAGTGTAAAATAAACCATAAGATGAACATATTTATGGAAAATGCAATAATGAACGCACCTGCGCCATCATGATCGGGCGGCGCCTCAGCCAGCAAGTATCGGTGCGCTCCACAGCGCGCTGCGAGCCAGTCCCCGGCGCCAGCAGCACCAGCCGCGCCCCGGCCGCCGCCGCCAGCAAGCACAGCCCCGCCGCCGGCAGCCACGACACCCGCGCCACGCTCTCTCCCAGCTCCAGCACGCGCACGCAGCGCCCCGAGCTGGTCTCCCACACTGCCACACTCACACACTACAGACCCTGTACTATGTCTACTACTGCTCTCTCCCAGCTCCAGCACGCGCACGCAGCGCCCCGAGCTGGTCTCCCACACTGCCACACTCACACACTACAGACCCTGTACTATGTCTACTACTGCTCTCTCCCAGCTCCAGCACGCGCACGCAGCGCCCCGAGCTGGTCTCCCACACTGCCACACTCACACACTACAGACCCTGTACTATGTCTACTACTGCTCTCTCCCAGCTCCAGCACGCGCACGCAGCGCCCCGAGCTGGTCTCCCACACTGCCACACTCACACACTACAGACCCTGTACTATGTCTACTACTGCTCTCTCCCAGCTCCAGCACGCGCACGCAGCGCCCCGAGCTGGTCTCCCACACTGCCACACTCACACACTACAGACCCTGTACTATGTCTACTACTGCTCTCTCCCAGCTCCAGCACGCGCACGCAGCGCCCCGAGCTGGTCTCCCACACTGCCACACTCACACACTACAGACCCTGTACTATGTCTACTACTGCTCTCTCCCAGCTCCAGCACGCGCACGCAGCGCCCCGAGCTGGTCTCCCACACTGCCACACTCACACACTACAGACCCTGTACTATGTCTACTACTGCTCTCTCCCAGCTCCAGCACGCGCACGCAGCGCCCCGAGCTGGTCTCCCACACTGCCACACTCACACACTACAGACCCTGTACTATGTCTACTACTGCTCTCTCCCAGCTCCAGCACGCGCACGCAGCGCCCCGAGCTGGTCTCCCACACTGCCACACTCACACACTACAGACCCTGTACTATGTCTACTACTGCTCTCTCCCAGCTCCAGCACGCGCACGCAGCGCCCCGAGCTGGTCTCCCACACTGCCACACTCATACACTACAGACCCTGTACTATGTCTACTACTGCTCTCCCAGCTCCAGCACGCGCACGCAGCGCCCCGAGCTGGTCTCCCACACTGCCACACTCACACACTACAGACCCTGTACTATGTCTACTACTGCTCTCTCCCAGCTCCAGCACGCGCACGCAGCGCCCCGAGCTGGTCTCCCACACTGCCACACTCACACACTACAGACCCTGTACTATGTCTACTACTGCTCTCTCCCAGCTCCAGCACGCGCACGCAGCGCCCCGAGCTGGTCTCCCACACTGCCACACTCACACACTACAGACCCTGTACTATGTCTACTACTGCTCTCTCCCAGCTCCAGCACGCGCACGCAGCGCCCCGAGCTGGTCTCCCACACTGCCACACTCACACACTACAGACCCTGTACTATGTCTACTACTGCTCTCTCCAGCTCCAGCACGCGCACGCAGCGCCCCGAGCTGGTCTCCCACACTGCCACACTCACACACTACAGACCCTGTACTATGTCTACTACTGCTCTCTCCCAGCTCCAGCACGCGCACGCAGCGCCCCGAGCTGGTCTCCCACACTGCCACACTCACACACTACAGACCCTGTACTATGTCTACTACTGCTCTCTCCCAGCTCCAGCACGCGCACGCAGCGCCCCGAGCTGGTCTCCCACACTGCCACACTCACACACTACAGACCCTGTACTATGTCTACTACTGCTCTCTCCCAGCTCCAGCACGCGCACGCAGCGCCCCGAGCTGGTCTCCCACACTGCCACACTCACACACTACAGACCCTGTACTATGTCTACTACTGCTCTCTCCCAGCTCCAGCACGCGCACGCAGCGCCCCGAGCTGGTCTCCCACACTGCCACACTCACACACTACAGACCCTGTACTATGTCTACTACTGCTCTCTCCCAGCTCCAGCACGCGCACGCAGCGCCCCGAGCTGGTCTCCCACACTGCCACACTCACACACTACAGACCCTGTACTATGTCTACTACTGCTCTCTCCCAGCTCCAGCACGCGCACGCAGCGCCCCGAGCTGGTCTCCCACACTGCCACACTCACACACTACAGACCCTGTACTATGTCTACTACTGCTCTCTCCCAGCTCCAGCACGCGCACGCAGCGCCCCGAGCTGGTCTCCCACACTGCCACACTCACACACTACAGACCCTGTACTATGTCTACTACTGCTCTCTCCCAGCTCCAGCACGCGCACGCAGCGCCCCGAGCTGGTCTCCCACACTGCCACACTCACACACTACAGACCCTGTACTATGTCTACTACTGCTCTCTCCCAGCTCCAGCACGCGCACGCAGCGCCCCGAGCTGGTCTCCCACACTGCCACACTCACACACTACAGACCCTGTACTATGTCTACTACTGCTCTCTCCCAGCTCCAGCACGCGCACGCAGCGCCCCGAGCTGGTCTCCCACACTGCCACACTCACACACTACAGACCCTGTACTATGTCTACTACTGCTCTCTCCCAGCTCCAGCACGCGCACGCAGCGCCCCGAGCTGGTCTCCCACACTGCCACACTCACACACTACAGACCCTGTACTATGTACTACTACTACTGCTCTCTCCCAGCTCCAGCACGCGCACGCAGCGCCCCGAGCTGGTCTCCCACACTGCCACACTCACACACTACAGACCCTGTACTATGTCTACTACTGCTCTCTCCCAGCTCCAGCACGCGCACGCAGCGCCCCGAGCTGGTCTCCCACACTGCCACACTCACACACTACAGACCCTGTACTATGTCTACTACTGCTCTTCCCAGCTCCAGCACGCGCACGCAGCGCCCCGAGCTGGTCTCCCACACTGCCACACTCACACACTACAGACCCTGTACTATGTCTACTACTGCTCTCTCCCAGCTCCAGCACGCGCACGCAGCGCCCCGAGCTGGTCTCCCACACTGCCACACTCACACACTACAGACCCTGTACTATGTCTACTACTGCTCTCTCCCAGCTCCAGCACGCGCACGCAGCGCCCCGAGCTGGTCTCCCACACTGCCACACTCACACACTACAGACCCTGTACTATGTCTACTACTGCTCTCTCCCAGCTCCAGCACGCGCACGCAGCGCCCGAGCTGGTCTCCCACACTGCCACACTCACACACTACAGACCCTGTACTATGTCTACTACTGCTCTCTCCCAGCTCCAGCACGCGCACGCAGCGCCCCGAGCTGGTCTCCCACACTGCCACACTCACACACTACAGACCCTGTACTATGTCTACTACTGCTCTCTCCCAGCTCCAGCACGCGCACGCAGCGCCCCGAGCTGGTCTCCCACACTGCCACACTCACACACTACAGACCCTGTACTATGTCTACTACTGCTCTCTCCCAGCTCCAGCACGCGCACGCAGCGCCCCGAGCTGGTCTCCCACACTGCCACACTCACACACTACAGACCCTGTACTATGTCTACTACTGCTCTCTCCCAGCTCCAGCACGCGCACGCAGCGCCCCGAGCTGGTCTCCCACACTGCCACACTCACACACTACAGACCCTGTACTATGTCTACTACTGCTCTCTCCCAGCTCCAGCACGCGCACGCAGCGCCCCGAGCTGGTCTCCCACACTGCCACACTCACACACTACAGACCCTGTACTATGTCTACTACTGCTCTCTCCCAGCTCCAGCACGCGCACGCAGCGCCCCGAGCTGGTCTCCCACACTGCCACACTCACACACTACAGACCCTGTACTATGTCTACTACTGCTCTCTCCCAGCTCCAGCACGCGCACGCAGCGCCCGAGCTGGTCTCCCACACTGCCACACTCACACACTACAGACCCTGTACTATGTCTACTACTGCTCTCTCCCAGCTCCAGCACGCGCACGCAGCGCCCCGAGCTGGTCTCCCACACTGCCACACTCACACACTACAGACCCTGTACTATGTCTACTACTGCTCTCTCCCAGCTCCAGCACGCGCACGCAGCGCCCCGAGCTGGTCTCCCACACTGCCACACTCACACACTACAGACCCTGTACTATGTCTACTACTGACCGCGCACGGAGCCGTCGTCCCCGGCCGAGGCGATGTACTGTCCGCTGGGGTCGAAGTCCAGGCTGCGCACGAGGCCGGCGTGGCCGCGCATGCACTGCGCCTCGAACGTGGGGAAGGGCTGCAGCTCGCGCGGCGACGGCAGCGTCGGCACCAGCGCCTCGGGCCCGATGGTCAGCTGCAACACGACGTCACTCAGTGTCCGCCCGGGCCGCGCCAGGCGCGCCACACGGCCCACTACGTACCCGCATCTTGATGGCTCGCGGCGCCAGGTACAGGTCGAGGCAGCGCAGGAACCGCTCGCGCGTGAAGCGCTCGTACGCGGGCACGGCGCGCAGACTGGCGTGGCGCGTCGGCAGGAACGTGTACTTGCGCTTCCACGGCGTCTCGCTCAGCTTGTTCCACTCCTTCAGCTGCAACACCAGCGCCACGCATGTGTAACTACCGTGCTAGTGCTCGTATGGCTGACATAAAATATCGACACAGAAGAAACCAAATCGACTGCTAAAATATCGACTGTCGCGTCCATATTACATCAATAGTGTGGAACAAACAGGTAAGCTGGCTTTTTAATATTTTTTGCGATTGCTATTCAGCACACCTATCTATAAATATATCATAGTTCGAAAACATTTATAATAAACTAGCTGTTCCCCGCGATTTCGTCCGCATATAGTAATGGGTCTGGCAAAATTTTGATTTATTTATTTTTTTATTTTTCTTTCCTAAGGTTAATTCCAAATCTGTGTAACAAATCCTATCAGAATCTATTCAATACCTAAGTCTATTTTCGTAATTAAAAAAAAAACGATTCCACAGGGATTTTATTTACCGGTATAGCATCCGTTCCCCATGAGGTTTCCATAATAAAAACTATTTTATGTTCTTTATTTACTAAATTTAGGTCAAGTGCGTTTCTTTTTGTTAAATATTTTAATAACCGTTTCAGTCCGCCTATCGTTTTGTTTGACAAAAATGTTGGAATTGATCTGTTCTATAATCTCATATAAGATTGTGGACGAATTACAAATCACCCTGTACATAAATAGACAGAAGGTATCAAAATATATCCCTCGAAGCCTTAGTCTTAGTCTTCACAATGAAGGTGAATAGAAATAAATATTAAATGCAGGGCGTAGAGCGGGAATACGGCACCTCTTGCGCGTCGAGCAGGTACTCGGGCGGCGGGTTGTAGCTCTCGGCGTGCGAGGGCGGCGGGCGGCGCGGCGCCGGGATGTGGCGCTGCAGGCCGCGCGGCTCGGCGCCGCCCGCGCCCCACAGGTCGTAGAAGGGCTTGTGGCGGCGCTGGCGCCGCTCGTCGGCCAGCTGGCGCCGCGTCTTGGCCCAGCCCATGCGCAGCGCGTGCACGAGGCGGCCCACGGCGCGCGCCTCGTCGCGCGACGGCACGAACGAGCGCTTGTGGTCGGGGAAGGCGCGCAGCGGCGTGGCCAGCACGTCGCGAGTGAACCAGTCCAGCCAGGGCGCGTACTCGTCGTGCGCCGCGGCGGGCACCAGGCCGGCCCGCACGCGCCGCAGCAGCTCCAGGTCCTGCTGGCTCAGCACCACGTCCTGCCCGGTGTTGGGGTCGCGCACCGTGCGCCAAAAGTCCGGATCTTCACATTTTCTATACAAATGATTAATTTCAATGAATTACCGACATATACACAATTCTTTATCCTCGTCGTATTAATATGGCTGAGTGTAAGAGAGGCAGCCCCGGTGCCTGCGGCCGTCTACAATTGAAGTGTTGACATGAAGTGATATCCTAGCTGATTATAACCAATACAATCTTGATGATGTATATGAGTGTGTGGACTACTAACTTGAGGAACTCGTCGATCTGGTCACGCTGCGGCGGTTTGATGATGCGGCGTCCGTCCAGGTCGTAGCCAACGTGGGTGTACTCGCGGTACCACCACAGAGGTACGTCCCCCACTGTGTTGCGCCGGTCCTCCTCATCCGACGTGTCACCCGATGAGTACTCGTCTGTTTCAATTCAAGCAGTTGCAGTATCCAAACAGTCAAAGCAGTTGCTACTCGACGAGTTAATCCCGGCCAGATCATTATAAAATTTAATGAAACAATCTCAACACAATCCTTCCTATTAACAACTCAATAAACAACTAAGAGCAATTGAATAAAATAAACCTTTTTGTGTGACCGGTTGTGTGTTGACACTAGCTTTGTGAACACTGTCTGCCAGTCTGTCGATGCTAGTATCAGTGCGCTGTTTGGCGGCGTCCGGTTTTATCTTGACTCGTCCGGCCGGGCGCGGCGCGGCACGGTCCTCGTCCGAGCCGCTGTCACCGGAGGGCCGCGCAGGGCCGGACTCCGCGCCGCTGTCCGCCTCACTGTCTGAGTCGTCATCCTCCTCCTCAGACTCTCCATTATCATCATCCTCAGAGTCTGTGACATCCTGAAACATTCATTATGCCTCCTTTACAACAAACCAACTACAGACAAACTGTCTTAAACCTCAGTCAAATACAAAATACAAATGTAATGGAGCACTAACACTATACAGTAGTATACAAAATGTACCTTCAGTTTTCATTTTAAACACAGCAGACAACACATAACTATCAATAATATTGTGCAATAGAGCCTAAGCCTTTCATTCAAATATAATCAACATAAAGCTAGATTGTAATCATGAGTGACAAACTTTTCCCTAACCCAAACAATAATAAATTATTAGAATACACACAACAGCATGTGGTGGAGGTATGAAAACTTGAATTGAAAGACAGTGCTTTCAATTCAAGTTTTCATATAACTAGGCAAAAGTCATGGAATAAAACAAGATAATGGTGTAATATATTGTATTAAAAAAAAATACTTACTGATGATGAACCTGAAGCATCATCTGCTTGTTCGTCATCCCCAAATGTTGAGTCAGCGCTGTCATCAAATAGAACCTCCTGAGAAAAAAATAAGTACAATAATGACCATGACATAGAAATGAATACCCATTACTACGTTATAATATTGTATGTCACTCTCATGTTTGCAATGTAAGTGTAATCTGCAGTTTGCATGTAAGCATTCTGAAACTATCAAAATTATGTAAAATCAGATTATCACAAGTTCTATTCCACTGATTCTACAAAAGTTCAGATTTCTCCATGAACTGAAAAATTACATATGAAATTCATCCTACTGAAGATATTCATAGGATAACAAGAAGGAAATAAAAAATTATGCAAATGACTAACATCTCTTTCATGGTCGGAAGTGACTTCTGTTTCATCTCCATGCTCGGAATCTGTTGTGTCACTTGCAGCATCCAGTTCTCCAGTTATCAAATCTTCTTGTTCTGAATCCTCTGTCTGATAAAGAAATTTGTCCATTAATTAAATAACCACCTTCAGTTTAATGAATACAGAATAAACCCTGGTTCCACCCAGACATAATATCCAAAACCATACTACATATACTTTAAATTACATCATTTCTGGATACTCTATCCCCTACGGAACAGATAACTCGTTGAAATGCCATACATGTAACCCAATCGGTACTTTTATTAAACAACAAAGTAGGTAACTTACATTAATTGTTACAGTTAAAACATTGGATGGAGGATCCTTTCATTAAGCACATCGGTTAAATACCATGCACCTACATAAATATTCGTGTGAATTGCGACATTTGAGTGAAACATGTACATGTTTCATTTCTTGTAATTTTATTCGCAATTTTACCTGATTAAATGTGTTCAAACGGTCATTTTGCTCTAGGTTTTCAGCATCAACTTTCCTCTTCAATAATCCTTTTTTGAAAGGCGGCATTTTGATAAAATTTCTGGATAACACTCACTGTATCTATGTAGTCACTAACTTCAAAATAACCACACGTGTTTACGAGTTTGACACTTCGACACTTGTCACTTACTTTCCTAGCATATCCAAAGCAGACGTTGACATTGACAATCATTGAGAACTGTCAAAAACACAGAAGTAAAAATTTTATGATCTGCTATTTTTTATTTTATTTGATGGCCCGCCGTTTGACTACTATCTCGCCTGGTGTTAAGCGATGATACGGTCTACGATGGAACACGACGTCTCATAAGAAAACTATTTACTCGGGCCTTGAAGATACCCATGTTATACCTTTCAGGAATTATAGACTCTGGCAAAGAAACCTACTCCTGTAACAGTACGCACAAGGAAGCTTGATGCGTAGCGCTTTGTGCGTGTGGGTGGAAAAGGTTTGGATTCAAGACTTTTAATTTGTGTGTTTCGTGTCGGACCGCTGCGGTGCGTTAGATGTAATGCCTATACTTATTATACTCTTTGTGTACTGCGCACGGGGATACTTACCATACTCTTTGCGATCCTCTTTTTTCATGCAAAACACACGGTGTGGCAATAGTACTGCGGACGCTCGACAAAGACAGGACGGCAACGTCGGCAATACCAAGGCAATACTCGGCAAGCATCACGTGTCCATTTCGGTGTTGAATAGTCAACCAATATTTTGTCCCTTATTAATAATTTTTTTCCCTCGGGAATATCAAATTTTTCCGGGATAAAAAGTACCATATTATTTAATCCAGACTTCTAACTTTACGTCTGCAAAAATTCAAAGCAATCGGTTTAGTAGGTACGGCGTCAAAGCGGAACAAACAAACAAACTCACTTTCCGATTTATAATATTAGTAAGGATAAGGATATTGTATACACATGTGAGAATAATGTAAAACATACCTGACGCATCATACAAATAACAGAACGTACTAAGATATAAAAAAAACAAAACCAAGAGAAAACAAATATCTTAAGTCTGACATGGTCCTCACATATGTATACTGACGATCCATATAAAATAGTGCTTCTATACAAGAAAAAAAAAGTAAAATCTTGTTTTACATAAAGAAAGAAATGCTCGATGCTACAAGAAAAATAGAGTACCTATTATCGGAATCTGAACTAGGTGTACCTACTAACTACATTTGAGTATTGTCCAGTGGAGCCGAACCAACACGCTGTCAGGCATTCCTACCCTCAAGATAATCAGTCGCGGAGAACCTAACGGGTAACCGGGGCTCCGGCTCGACGTGCAGGAGAAGGAACGGTGTGGTTTTTAGTCAGTAAGAGTCTGACACTCCCTCCCGCCTAACCCAGGTGGGAGCAGTCATTTGATGATTTTCCCCCTTAAAAAAATAAAAATAAAAAAAACCCCTCAAGATAATCAATCACTCTGTAGTAACATGGTATTTTTACCGACTTCAAAAAAAGAGGAGGTACTATGTTCGGCTGATTGTTTTATTTTTTTTTGTTTGTTCGCGCAGTTTTCCGTCATTTGTAAACCGATTTCCAAAATTTTTGTTTTGTTTGAAAGGGTATACTCCCGAGATGGTCCCATTTCCACGAGGTCAGGATCTGATGATAGGATCCTAGGGAAACTGAGGGGAACTTTCGAAAATTGTATGGGCGAGTAGTGCGTCTATTATGTTTTTCAATTACGATTTTTAAACACTACAATTTGATAAGGGTCTGGAGTCGACCTGATGATGGAGCCGACAGACAGTCCAGAGAAGTCCTCAGCGGTTTATATTAACTACCTTGTGTTTGGGCTTGATTAATTTGTATTAAGGAGGACTTTACACTAAGATAGAGTGGGGCTGTCATTAAGGGTCTGATGATGAAGAAGTGTAATTGTTAGGGAACTCCTCAACGGTATACAGTAACTACCTTGTGTTTGGGCTTGATTAATTTGTATTGACGAGGACTTTACATATACCCGTTTTGTTACTTATAATCTACATAGAGATTATAAGTAACAAAACGGGTATATGTAGCTTTACACTGAAAATGATAATAAAATAAAAATTGCGTTTAAAAAACCGACTTCAAAAAACCAAAAACTAATAACAAACAAAAAGCAAAAAATAACTATTATTAGTACTGATAGGTTACCCTCCTACTGATAGGTTAGAAGTCAGTGCCATAAGCTCATATCATAATGATAAAACTGAATGTCCACAAGATTGTAAATTAGGTACCTATTAAGGTTTAATGAATAATTTTGTATGGAACTTATGGCACCGACTTCTTACCTATCAGTGGGTGGGTAACCTATCAGTACCTACTAATAATAGTTATTTTTTGCTTTTTAGTTTTGAGTTTTTGTTTGTTATTATATTATAACATTTAACGCATAACTCCATGAAGGATTTCTGTACCTTTTTTTTTAAGGGGGGAAAATCATAGAATGAGGAGCCTGGGTGAGGCGGGAGGGAGTGTCAGACTCTTACTGACTAAAACCCATCCCATTCCTTCTTCTGCACGTCGAGCCGGAGCCCCGGTTATCCGTTAGGTTCTCCGCGACTCCGAATCGGCATCGGCCCTATTGGGCCCCATCTGTGGTGGTCTGATGGCTCTTTGAGGCGCGCGCGGAACGCGACGCGCCGTAGTTTTCTGTACCTTGGACAGTCTGAATTGCAGTACAGCTACCTTTTTTGGCTCTAGTATTAAGATTGTGTCTATCGCTTCTTTTTTCGAACAATTGCCAATTTTTTCTTACATACCTACATTATATTTTCATATAGGTACCTATGTATTGATAGGGCACCGTTAAAAATATTTGTCGTTTTAAACAATTCTCTTAGCGATTCGCAACGGCGTAAGTTATATATTGTTGGGATAGCCCGCTTTTGAAGAATAAAAATTGATTCTATTTCTGCAGCTCGACCCCACAACAAAATGCCGTACGACATAATGCTGTGAAAGTAACTAAAATAGACAAGCCTTGCAGTACCTATCCACATCCGTGAGCTGTCTAATCTGTCTAACCGCAAAAGCAGCTGAGCTTAATCTCCCCGAAAGCGCCTTTATATGCGAGCCCCATTGTAGCCTATTGTCTAATGTAATGCCTAAAAATATCGTCTTGTCGACAAATTTTAACTTTGGGCCGTTCAAAACAACATCACAATCATTACTTCGGACGTTTGATAAACTAAATTTAATACATTTGGTTTTTTTCTCATTGTCCTTGTTGAAAGACATACATACATAACTTCACGCTTGTCTCCCATGGGGGTAGGCAGAGACTAAGGAACGCCAATTACTACGATTCTTACATACCTCTTTCGCTTCATTAACAGTCATCAATCTTTTCATGCATGCTCGTCGGTTAAGGGTACTTTTAATTTGGCCCTTCTTTAATATATCGCCAATCTGGTCACTATATGTCCGTCTAGGGCGCCCTCTACCGACGGCTTCATTCATATCCGCTCTGTATATTTCTTTCGTTACTCTACTTTCATTCATCCTTTCTACATGTCCAAACCAGCGTAACATTCCCTTTTCAATCCTTGTCACTACATCGTCTTTCAATTCACACCTCTCTCTAATAACACTATTTTTCACTCGATCACTCACTCACTTGTTGAAAGACCCTTTTCAAAACTTTGTTTACACTTTCAAAATAATAGACATAAATGCAAACTATCATCCTCTATTTTGACCCTTCAGGGGTAATATTTTTAAAATACCTTTCAAGGGTGTTTACGCACTGACTGAAGTGAATATTTGGTCCGAATTATGTAAAAATTATGATGTACTAACAACATTCCAATGGCCTGCCAATGGTGTGATACTAGCTAATTCTCTAATGTTAGCCAATCTGCTAACTCTCTAATTAAACTATGAATTATTTATCCTTTTTGACAAAGAACAAGTTTCATACTAGTGCCATTTGGTGTGCAAAAATACAGTAGCCCCCAATAAATCAATTTTGGCTGTGAGATTATAAAACATTGATTTTTAAGTATTGAGTGTTGTGATGAAGTGTGCCTTATTCCTTTTCCATACAAATCTACATTTAGCTACGAGCACCTGCCTGCACTAAAAATCCAACACACAGACAATTCAATTAAAACCTGGCTGCATGAACATTACTAAATTAATTAAAATGATTAGGTACCTAGACTTTGACCCTCTTATAATAACACTGAAACCAAAACTTCCATTTCTTGTTGTATCTATTTATTACAATCTTTTTCATAATTTTATTATTATAACTTGGCTATACCAAAGTCAAACAACTCATTATCGTAAAACTATAACAATATCCAACAAAAATCAACATTGCTTCATAGTCTAAACTACCAGTGAGCACAACTGAAGATTATGCTTGTTTCGTTTTGCTGGAACCTAACACAATTACCACAGGTAGTATTACAAACATTGTCATTTACTACCAGCTGCTGGTACTGTAGTGTGAATACGTATGCCATGCATTTCTGCTATCTCACTCTTCAATGACTCGGTTACCAATCGGTGCTGCTTGACTCGAGATAAGCCAGAGAATTCTTTGGCTTCTACATTAATCTGAAATAAAAAAATAATCATATACTGAGACCTGATAATATGATATACAAAATGGATTACATTGATGAGGCACATAAATGAAGGCAGCTATAATAGTATTTACTAAATATACTTCATTTAAAATACATATTACCTCAAACATAGCACCACAACCTCCAGATATGTCTTCTACACTGACATATGTGATGCCAGGCAGTGAACGCTTTAGAATTTCAGACAGCTGTTGCTCCTTGGAAATGCTGTTCCGTTCGAATGCGTTACCGCCATTAGTTGCACTCCCCAGTCGTGCCTTCCTCGACTACCAACATGACATACAGGTTAACAGCAGTACTTTGTTACTACCAATCAATCGAGCAAGTACTACTGTTGTATTCGACATGAGTGCTTACCAACTGATTTCTGATAGGTTCCAGAATTCTAGCTAAGGTACGATACATTTTTGGAAATTGTGTGGATTTTCCACTTCGTTCGTAAAACCTATAGTTTAAGGAGAGAATGAAGTTCGAAAAGCTATAATTAGGATTCCTAGTACTAATTTCGGTCTATACAGATTATTTCTAAACTTTCAACACATTTTTCTCTTTCCTAACTTCAAAAGCAACTTAACACAAAAATAACCAACAAGGAAATTAAAAATAAATGATGCAACACGTTCTGTGCTCGGTAAATCTGCCATGCCATGCCAAATTTATTGAGTCTGATGACATGACAGACAACTGACAATGACATTGACAGGTGGACGTACCATGGACGTACAGGGTCCAAACTTATACTTATTGTCTAAACTGGCAGAATAAAAAATAAAATAAAAAAGTAACACGAACAAAAAAGTACAATACGAAGGAGTCGAATGAGGCTATCAAGTGTAAAATCCACTAGAATCGAATGAATGTAATATCGGTTAATCTATAAGGACATTAAAATAACACGCAATATTACGAATACAACAATATACAACTTAAAATTAACCAAAACTAAAACAGCGAATAAAAAAAAGAAATAAAATTTACTTACAAGTTAGTTAATTTATCAGTTTTACATTCAATCCATAATATTAATTATTTAAATTAATAAAATTATTTATTTTTGCCAACTAGATTTGAACATTTACGCCGTCAGCACATGCAGCGGTACTTAGAAGATGTGATAGCGCAAGGGTGTCTCACACCATCTTCCAAGGCATCAACGCCCAACCACATACCATCTGGTTTCTTGCCGTTATCACGTCAATTAACATTGTTGGATTAATTCATATTATCATATGGAAGATTAGACATTGTAAAATACAGAAAGAAGAGAAATATTACTTTATCAAATGGGAACCATGGGGAACTTATTTGTAATTTTTAATCTATAGTGCTATTGGTGCTATTATTCTCGATAAGAAAATATCTGGAGTATTGTCTATGGTATAGAGGGACAATCAAAGAGTTTTATGCTTACCTATTGGGACAATCATTGACGACAAGAAAAACATCAGTCAACATCGGCCTTTAAAAAGTCAACATGGCGTTGAATCTAAGTGTCAAGATTCACCCTGTGGTGTTATTTCAAATAGTAGATGCTTATGAGAGGCGAAATGCAGATTCACACAGAGTTATTGGTACACTGTTGGGTAAGTATTGTAGTTAAAAAGAATGGTGCTGTAAAACATTTAATTCTACACAAAATTTTATTGTAATGTTCACGGCTGACATCGTCATGTGCCTGTATTTCGTCCTAGTATCGTTAAAACAATCGTGTAGCTGCTTATTGCATCTACATTTACGCAATAGAGATTTGGTTCTTTAATGGTTTGTGGTGACTTCTATATCCTGACATAAATGTGTAAGTTAAGGGTTGTTTTGAGGTTATATTGTTGTGATGTTCAGGCACCTGCGACAAGGGGATTGTGGAAGTGACAAACTGCTTCTGTGTACCACACAAGGAACATGCTGACCAAGTCGAGGCCGAACTCAACTACGCCATGGACGTGTACGAGCTAAACAGGAGAGTGAATGCATCAGAGAACATTGTCGGTGGGTAACAATAATGTTTGTAATGTTATGGTTAAGTGTATACTGTATAGTGCAACATTTGGCGCACGTCGTCGATTAAGGGTTAAGAAGTACCTAAGGTTTTATGTTTTATGATGTAACTAGGTACCTGTGTGTGGGTCCCATTGCTTGCGGTGTAATTTTTTATAGTCTATAATTATAATTGCCTTTGTTGATATTAATTGGACTATCCAACACTAAAAGAATCATTAAATGCAACCAGTAGTTGCGGAGACTAATGCATGTGATCAAACAAACTAACTTCTCACTAACTTAAGATTTTTAATTTTTTTTTATTTTAGTAAGTTATTAGTATAATGCGTCAAGTGTGTCTTTGCATTGTTCTTACATATGCGTACAGTATTGAATTTATCAGATTATATTTATCAGAGACATTGTAGAACATACTTTTTTAAAAAGAGTAATGAATGGAGTTACTTGCTCATTCTTCTCCATTCGAATCTACTTTTTGGAATGAGCAGCTTCACCTAGTTTCAGTGACGGACTGATTGACAGACTATTATTTATTTTGTACTTGTTGACGTTTCAAAAGTACCAAACTATGGTTTAATTGAAATAAATGCTTTGACTTTGACCTCAGATTTAAAAAGTACTATTGAAATACACATGTTACAATTTTAGTTATTTTTCTTCTTATGACTTACCCCACACTAGGATTTCCCCTCACATTGTAGGTGTGTATATAAACAGAAATTCATATACACATCATCAGTGATCCTCAAAAATATGCACCCATCAACGGATGTTGAAGAAATCAGAGGAGCTCTAGCCAGCCTTGGACACGTCGCCAAAAACATTTGGAATATTAAACAAGCAACAACCAAGACTCCATTACATATGTTTGTGATTGAACTTCAGTCAAGCTCAAACAACAAGGAGATCTACAACATTAAGTCCCTTCTGCATTGCCGTGTAAAGATGGAGCCCCCAAGATCAAAGCGCACAATACCTCAATGTGCGAACTGCTTAGCATACGGCCACACGAAGTCCTATTGCCGTCGAAACCCAAGATGTATAAAATGTGCGGGTAGTCACCTATCTTCTGCGCGCTCGCGCAAGGAACGGTCTGACGACGTTAGATGTGCCTTATGTGGCGGAAATCATCATTCTTTGGCAAACTTGGCAGCAAATTCATTGCAGGAGGGGATTATAACGCCAAACATACCGACTGGGGCTCAAGACTTATCACCACAAAGGGTCGAGAACTCATGCAAACCATCCAAAAGTTAAATCTAGGCTACACATCTACTGGGTGCCCAACATACTGGCCTTCTGATCCAAAAAAGAAACCAGACCTGGTAGACTTTTATTACCAAAGGTCTTTCTAGTTTGGCTTTGCTTTGCCACCCTTCTTATGACCTATCTTCGGACCACACAGCTATTATAGCGAAGCTCCAAAATGACCTCGTGGAAGTTGTCAGACCCTGCAAACTGCACTCAAGGAACACCAATTGAGAACTTTTTAGGGAAATGGGGATGATGACAGGGTATGAAAATTAAAAATATAATTAGTCCGTAAGTTAGGTAATGAAAAAATATTAGACACGTATTTTTTTATTTTGTCGTATAATAAAACAATACTTAGATAAAACGAATCAAAGTTTAGGAGTGGGGGCTAAAACGTCATTCCTTAGTATAAAATGTACTGAGAAGTGACGTCACGCGACATTTCAAATCAATATATCTTCGAAACTATTTGTTTCTGTGAGAAAATAAAAAATACGTGTCTAATGTTTTTAAATAATCTATCAGACGGACATTAAAATAAAAATTAGTCGTCTACCCCTGTACATTCAGGGATCTAAATGTACAGTGAAGGGGGTTGACTGTAGCCTATCAACAATCTTACCTGCACCTAACAACCTAACAACAATCCTATTTGCACCTAACAACCTACCAACAATCCTATTTGCACCTAACAACCTACCAACAATCCTATTTCACCTAACAACCTAGCCCTAACCATATAGGTACAATATATACTTATATATAGTGCGGGATGCCTGTTACCATGAGACCTAAGGCAACAGACGGACGGTGGGAAGGATGAAAGGTGTATAGGAAGGGATTTTCTCACTGCCGATCCGCAGCCTCACGGACCGACCAATAACAAAGGCTGAGTGATGCCAGAGCTATCGGTAACTATTTATAGGCGCAGTAACAGTGAGAGGAGTCGATGGTCTCGTCGAATGAAACAGCGTTGCTCGAAGCGTAGAAAGAGAATTTATTAAAGATTTACATGCTATTTATATTAATATATTTACATGTATAGGTGTATTACTTATACGAATGCATTTGTGTGAAACCGCGTAGATCAACACTGTTGCGACACATAACTACGATTGAGGTTGATTCTGGTTCATCGCGGTCACTGCCCTGCTGCGTCGGCATGTTCACATCCTCGCGTGAACATTTTGGCGAGTCTCAGAAGAGTAGGTCTTCAAGGTCTTCATCTCGTAGAGAGTCGGCTGCTGCCCCCGAGGAGCCGGCCGCGCGTAAGTGTGCTGCTGCGGTCGTGGTGGCGCTGCAGGTAGTTCGTCGTGGGAACTGCTGGCTGGTGCTACCGTTGTCCGTCTTGACGCCGCCATAGCACGTATTCTGGCCACAATTTGTGGAGCAAAACAATAAATTAATAAACAAATACATAAAATTACTAATAAAGTTGTAAAACTAATAATATAAGTTTGTGTATTGATAGTGGTCCAAATAGTGTTATCTAAGATTGTTTGTTCGTTCATTTCTTCGTCTACTACATGCTTAAATATATCTTTAGAACTATCTAAAACTACTTGTTCTTTTGAAATATCAGTATGTGATCTAATTACAGAATAATTATTATCGAGATGAAATAGAAGGGGTCTGCTATAGGACGCTAAGACATTGACTGTGTGTACTCGTTTAGCTACTAATGTAGTGGCCGTGGTTTTAATAATACAATTTTCTGAAATTTGTATTACTCCAATGTCATGGATGAAACTTTCTTCTCTCTCTCCGTCGCATACAATGGACACTGTCTCTGTTTTCTTCGTGAGGTATATCCAAGTGTTTTTCATTTGAACTTGTTTCCAGATAATATTGTTTTTGATGTTGTAGGTTCTCGTAGGGCACGTAGAGTTGTCATCTTTTATGATCATGCGAACAATGCAATTTTTATTTAATTGCATGTTTTTGACGGCCGCAGGAAAGCAGATAAAGTTGTTGAGTCTATGTAAACATTTGTTGTATTCGTCGTCAGTTAATTCAAAGTATTTCTCATTGTTGTAATCTATAGCTATAAATGTCTGTGAAATATCTATGCCTGTGAATGAACCATCCTGGTTTTTCATTGGTATGGGAATGACGTGCATAAAGGTATACTTCGTTTTTTCTGTAATCGGAAAGTACGATAGCACTGTAATATGTGTATCGTTTTCCGTTAATAGTGTGTGAGTCTGCATGATATGAAGATTTGACGGTATCTTGCTGTTTGCATTTGCAATAGTATCTGCTATGTTTTTTGGAGAAAGCACACTGTATACTGTCGCTTTCATGATGTATATTTCCATTAATCCTGAGTAGTAATCATTGATTTCTGTAATATAGTTGTATGCCAATTGGTACGATTGCATAACTTGAATTTGTAGGTGATTACCGTCAAATGATTTGTACCATCGATCATGGTCATTAATATAACTCAGAGCTTGATTAAGCTTTGTTTGGAATCTGTCTAATTTTCGTTTAATTTTTTCTTCTGTTTGGTTCACTGTCGATACTGTAGTAATCATGAATTTTGTCTGATGGTTTGCTGCGTCTATAAGCTTTTGTTGGTTCTCTTGTAGTGACCCTAAGTTTCTGTAAACTTCATCATTTACGCCGAATATTGAAGTCATTAATGATCCTAACAACCCTCTTTTCTTTCTTGTACTGGTCATTTCCGTTAAATATTCATGTGTCCTTTTAAATTTTTCTTCTTCCTCTTGTAGGTGGTGATAGTACTGATCGCAATGTGTGTTGATTGTTGTTTTCGAAGTGTAATCGCATAGTGTTTTGAATTCGTTTAAAACTTTTTCTGCCATTGCTAAATTGTGGTTTAACGTGAGTCTTTCGTAGGTTGTTTCTATTCTAAAGGTTCCTCTGTATATAGTCCTGATTTTAAGTTTTTGTTTGTATATGTAGTCGTAGCTGGAGTTAAAAGTTGCAATGTCAGTAATAAAGTTATAACCCAATAATGCAGCTTGCCTGTCGATTTTTGCATAGCACACTGGCTATGTGTTTTCTTGTGTGTATTCAGTCTTGCTAAGTTAGCTTGCGTAGGCGCTGTTGTTTGCCTACTTCCCGCTGTGTTTGTGTCTTCGTTTACTGGTAATGGTATCAAAGTATGTATTGATCTCTTTTGGTCCGTCCCTTGTGATCGTTCGAGGGTTACCACTCTGGTGGCGCCATCATGTCCAGGGTGAATTTCTTTTATCCTCGCCAAGGGCCATTTACTCGGGTTTATGTTTTCGTCTTTAATTAGAACAATTGCACCGACTTTTAAGTTTTCTTCGTTTGACTTCCATTTATATCTCTGTTGTAATTGGTGTAAGTATTCTTTTGTCCAACTATTCCAAAAGTCTTTTTTCATCTTTTGTATATGCTTCCAGCGGTTTCTGAGGTCCGTATTTATGTTGTCTATTGGGTGAGGTACGCCCACTGCTTCACGTCCAATAAGAAAATGACTTGGCGTTAATACTATGTTATCGTTAATGTTTTCTGTTTGAATACATAATGGTCTTGAATTCAGACATGCTTCAATTTGGTGAAGGAATGTCGATACTTCTTCATAGGTTAAGGTGCTGTCTCCTATTACTCGTCTTAAATGGTGCTTCATAGATTTTACACCAGCTTCCCATATTCCGCCGAAGTGTGGCGCTGCTGGTGGTATGAAGTGCCATTGTGTGCCTATGTTAGTTAATGTATTTTGAAACTGCGGTGATTGAGTG